ACCACTAAAACACATTTCTTCCAAACCCCTCCACATAATTCACACAATATTATTAATAGTGCAACAAAAACCTCAAAGACACATTGCCTCACTACACACCCACTCTTCTTATATTCACTTAATTCCCTTAAATCACTTTTATCATGTATTCTTCCTTCACACATAATTCAGTTTCATGGTTCAGAGTGAAAATACTTCGATTTCGTTGTGGAACAGAGGAAATTCGTGTTTGTAAAATTTCGTGCACTGGCCATTACTCGGTCCAGAATAATACACACATTAACACCTACCATTTCCACTATCTCACTGAATCTTTAACATATACTTTCAGGCACACAATTAATCACAACATGTACATATATGTATATAAACATACACATAACACCCTCTTATTATTTATAAATACATCTTCATACAAGGAAACAAACCAATCTTGATGGTCCACACCGGGTATTTAGGTCACACTGACAGGGCGGCCAACTTCTTAACATGACTGAAACAGAAACATTCGAATATCAGACCGATTACAGGACGGTAATTTTTCACCTTATTTTTTACCCATTTTCGTGTATAAAATTATTCGACTTCCTATCCACGAAGGGAAATTCGGGCAAAACAAATGCCCACCACTCACTCAATTGGTCGCGTATCCATACACGAGGAACAAGGTAACGATTTCACTGACAAGAAAGATTTTCGTCATAAAGTTATGCTATTTGAGGGCAGCATAATGCATTATATGTGATATTCAGTAATCATTTATATTACCGTGGGGGATTCGCAAACTCTTGAGGTTGGAGCGGCGATCTCGACACAATCTAAGCTATCACGTAGCAATATAACCTCGGAATATAACAACAAAAATTTATACTTTGGGTGGAAAAACAGTTAAGACGCTCAATTTTATACATAACGTCATATTTGGACTTATATTCCACGTTACGACAGTCCTATATTACGTTCGGTTAAATAGCAGCTTCGTAAATGACGTCACTTTTGTGTGTGCGCAATGAACTACTGCGCACCCACCTGGAAACCTGGGGGCTGGCCCTTGGATCGCTGATGTT